AGAGAGAGAGAGAGAGAGAGAGAGAGAGAGAGAGAGAAAGAGAGAGAGAGAGAGAGAGAGAGAAAGAGACAGAGAGAGAAGAGAGAAGAGAGAGAAGAGAGAAAAGAGAGAGAAGAGAGAGAAGAGAGAGCGAGAGGGAGAGAGAGAGAGAGAGAGAGAGAGAGAGAGAGAGAGAGAGAGAGAGAGTGGGGGAGAGGGCGAGGGAGGGGGGCTGGGATTTGGGAGGGAGACAAGGAGGGAGCCTAAAGTTGCAGGGTTGCAGCCATGCCACCGTGTTCTTTTTGCCGTGTGCCGGCATCCAGCCCCCTGAAGCAAGCAGGAACATTAGCCGGTAAGACAATGTATGGGGACTGGTCTGGTTGAGGTGTTTAGGCGTCCTTGCTTTACGACTGTTATTGAATTTACATACGCAGCTTCGAACAACGACATACATAAGTACTCCAGCCCGACGACATGCAACGACGGGAAAGGCGCGCCACAAAGTTCCAGAGACTCCAATATCCCTTAATTAAGGAATATGCCGCAGTAGATCAAAATTAAGGATCCTACTATAGTTTAAAGTACATCCCTTGATCAAGGAATGCACCGTAGCAGATCAAAATTACGGATCCTGCTTTTTTTCAAGTGTATTCTGTCATTAAGGGTTATTGGAGTCTCTGGGTTCTACAACCGTAGAACCAAACTCTAACCCTAACTCGACGCACTGAAGCCTCAACCCTAAACCCTAAACCCCTAAACCCTGAAGCCTCAACCCCAATGCCCCGCATCTGGCAATTCCGACTGACCTCTCAACGCACCCAAAACCCCTGACTCAAAGGGACCCTTATAGGGGTGTCGGGGACGACACTTCCTAAGTGCTTCTGATAGGTATGAAGGGCCCCCTACCCCCCTCCCCCCTAGTGGTCCTTGTGACTGACTGCGAACCTCTAGAAAAGTCGGTTCAACTCATCACTTGGCGGACTTCTGAACCCCTCCTACAAGTTAAACTTTTAGCCTCCTTATTATAGTTCATATAGAAGCCCAAAAAGTTAAAGTCTAAAGAGCCAACCAGAAGAACGCCAAGATCAGGTGACGCTCCAGTTATAAGCCCTGAATCCAAAAACCCTCAAACTCCAAATCCTCTGTCCTGAAGACGGTAACCCCAACCCCCGATGCCCTGAACTCCCCCCGATGTAGGGGGCCTCAATATTGAGAATAAGGTTTGGGGGTGTATTCTTAATTTGACTACGGTTTTGGGGTCCATCAAAACTGTAAGAATAATAAGCTTAAGGAACACCCAAGACGGTATAGGTAATTGTTTAGGCTCCTATGGTAAAGACGAAATGGGAGTTTCCAAAAATAGGGGACCCTAATATGGCACCCTAAATACTAGGATCCTTATTATGAGGACCCCAAATAAGGTACCCCCTATTTTCGGAAACTCCCAAATGCTGCACAGTCCGAGGGGCCTTCCGGGCGCCGTGCCTCCAGCCCTGGCGCGCCGTCCTCCAGCAGGAGCCTGGAACGACACTAGGGTTCAGGGTAGAGGGGTTTGGGGGTTAGGGGTTTAGGGGTTTAGGGGGGTTTCGGGTTTAGGGGTTTAAGGGTTTAAGGGTTCAGGGTAGAGGGGTTTGGGGGTTAGGGGTTTAGGGTTTAGGGGGGTTTCGGGTTTAGGGGTTTAGGGGTTTGAAGCCCCCCCAAAAGCCCTAAAACCAAACCATCTCCAACGGGGCACAGCGTCACAGCTCCGAAGTCCGTATGCTCACCGCACGGGATAGCCTGAGCTCCGAGGTCAAAGGGGACTTTCTTGGTTTGGGGTTTAGGGTTCGGCGTTGAGGGTGTAGGGTTCAGGGTTAAGGGCAGAGGTTCTCGAGGAAACAGGGCTTTGCCTCGTTTTGGGGTGGTTTATACTCACGATCTTGCTATTTAGGCAAGCCTCTTGGCTTGTTTTGGGGTCCTTTATGTTGCCGATCAGCAATGTGGATGCCTGCTGGGGAGTCGGGAACGCCATAGAGACTACAACAATTATTGGATTTGACCTGTTGGTGCTGGGGTTGTATTCAAAGCAAGCCTTGCAAGAACATTAATATAGAGGCCTTAATAATTGGAATAGGGTTTTGGGGCCCATCATACCATAATTACACTAAGGAACCCCCAAAATAGTATAGGTGGTTGTTTAGCCCCCTCTAGTATGCTGGTATGCTGGTGCTCGGAGGCAGGTGATTTTCTCATCAGGGGTGCTTAAAATCTGCACAGTCCCCCAGTCGGCCATAATCGCGGAATCAGGGTCTAGAGTCAGGGTAATGCAGGGGCCTTCATAAGTACCAATACTACTTTGGGGTTGGGTTTTAGGGTTTAGATTTCCTTAGTATAACTATAGTATCATGGGCCCCAGAGCCCCATTTCTAACTAATTGAGAGTCTAGAGCCCTGAGATTCATACCCCTGCAACTCAACAGGCAACGCTAAATTTCAAAATGCTAAACACTAAGCCTCGAACCTGAAAGCAAGAAGCAGCACGAACAAAAACCCAAGCCTTATATGGGAGTTTACGAAAATTAGGGGCGCCTTATTAGGGGTCCTTATAATAAGGATCCTACTAATAGGTCCTACTATTTAGGGTACTATATTAGGGTCCCCTATTTTCGGAAACTGTCATATAGACCCGTATGTCTTCACCTTGTGTCCCGACACGGCTAAGCACCCTGAAACTCAAAGTCGTAAAGCAAGTACTCCAGCTCGGAGCAGCTACACCTCCAAGCTCTAAGCACCTGACGCCGTCAAAGAACAGCATCGTATTTCCGATTCAGAACCCTTTCGCCGTTTTTGCAGAGTATAGTAAGAATCCGAATACCAAGACCTCCAATGTCATGGCTTTCACAATTGGAACAGGATTTCGGGGGCATGTGATATACTTGTTATAATTCGGAATCCTACGGAATGGATGCTCCAATGCTTCCGACCCCTAGATTTCAAAATCCTGGCGGCAACCCTACAGTTATGCATAGAGGAACCGTTGTTCTTCCGACCCCTATGTTGCAGGCAATTCCCAAACTAAACCATGTCAAACCCAACCGATAAGCCCTATTCAAATCCGGTCAAAAAAGGCTTGTATGATACGTTTAAACCTTCATGATCTCCTGTTCTAATCGGTACGGAGCCCTATTCCCTAACACAGGGCCCTAACATAGGGCCCTTAAGACTTAGGCTTTGGTGTAGTTTTTACTGTAGCTCTAAGAGGGAACCCGAAGGAGTACTACTAGACTTGTTCAGGCTTCTATATTGCGCAGTTCTCGAGAATAGGGTCCCTTTTGGGACCTGTTTTTCCGGGCGCCGTACTACTGTAGAGAACTGCCCACATTGTCTTCCCTAAACCCTAAACCCTCCTAAACCCCTAAAACATCCCTAAATCCTAAACTCTCAACCCCCTACTAAACCCTGAACCCTAAACTCTAAACCCTAAACCCCTAACCCTTAAATCCTAAACCCCTAAACCCTCAACCCCCTACTTGGAGGGTTGGGGGACTTAGTAACTGGTTGTTTTATAAACTTATAAGAACCATAACCCCAATTAGGGTCCCTTTTAGGGTACTTATAAGTCTACTTACTACCTACTTACTAAGTCCCCCGACCCTCCAAGTAGACCTCTTTGCAAAACAGCGTTCCCAAGCCCATGGGCCGAGGTATCGTCGACGTCGCTCTTCTCCGGTGAGGCCTCGGTGAGAACTGGAGCCTTCAAAAGGGGCCCAGACCCCCGGGAGGATCTGGAAAAGTTTAGGGTTTAGGGGTTTAGGGTTTTAAGGTTTAGGGTTTTAAGGTTTAGGGGTTTAGGGTTTTAAGGTTTAGGGGTTTAGGGTTTTAAGGTTTAGGGGCTTAGGGTTTAGGGTTTTAAGGTTTAGGGTTTAGGATCGAGAAAGTAGATCCCCTAATTTGGGACAGTCGGGGCTTGTGGCTGGAGCATTGGCATGTGTCTGCCCGGCGGTCTGCATGCCCTTCCGCTTGTCTGTCAGCTCTGTTGGGTCTGCCATTGCGGCGGTTGGGGCCGTCAACTTGCAACAGTAACTGCAGCTTGAATCTCAGCTTCCGGCGTACGCGATCGAGCGGCACAGTCTGGAGAGCGCCAGGCCAGGTCCAATCCGAGCACGCCCCAAAACAAGCTCATGACGGGCCACCACATCTGAGAGGGACGCATAATGTCGTGATGCAGAGCGGCACGCCGAGCCCAGCAACGACACCCCTTCACCCCGCTGGAAAGATGCTGCACAGGAAAAAAGCTCGTCTCGCCCTTGCGCCCTCGATGAGCCGTTCGTGGGAGGAGCATGCGAGGGGCAAGGAGGAGCAGTTTCCACGCACGCGACGGGCGAGCGGCATCCGTAGTGGCAGGAGGGAGCCACGGGGCAAGCTCGCGCGCACACAGAACCCAAGGGCTACTTGTAGCCATGCCTACAGGCGCAGCCTTATGACCTACCCAAGACCCCAATATCCCTTAATTAAGGAATATTCCCTTAATTGACGTAAGGAATATTCCTGAATTAAGGGTATATGGGAGTCTCTGGGTATACTACGAAGGGTACTTTACAGGAACCCCCACTACTTTTGGGATCCTCCCGAGTCTCTTGGGTCTAGGGTTCCTATGATGAGGTTATGATGAGGGCACTCGATTTCTAGAGTAAGGGCTGCGTTAAGTGTGCTACAGGCTTTCGAAGGGCCCGGAGTCCCGGAGTTTAGGGTTTAGGGGTTGGGTTTAGGGTGTTGGCGGTTGTGTTTTCTTCTGATGCTAAATGGAAAGGCTTTGAGTTTAGGGTCTTTCCAGGGTCCAGGGCTTAGGCTTCATAACTCTGCAACCCAGAGCGCTTGCTTCAACAGGCTCCTCATTCTCCGGGGGGCTCTTAACCCTAAACCCTAAAACCCTAAAGCCCTAAACCCTAAGGGGATCCTTTGTAACAGATACTTCGCTCTCTGGGCCTCTCAAAGCGACTACTGTGCTCAAAGATGCCCTAACGCTGGAAGACCTACTAAAACCTAAATCGGGCTAGGGCTTGGGACCCGAAGCCTTAAACCCTTTTCGCTCCAGGAGGCAGGGTAGTGGCACATGCGCATCGTGGTGAGGTCCCAGGTTTTGATGGTTTGCGCGAACTTTGCAGGATTCCTGGGCATTTCGTACCATCTATCTATCCATCGATTCACACACACACACACATATATATATATATGTATATATGTATATATGTATATATGTATATATATATGCATATATATATATATATATATATGTATAATCTTTTTTTTCCTTTGGGGGGTCGTAGGGAGTGAGTTTAGGGGACTTTTGGCTTTTTGGCCTTGGGTGTGGTCGGGGAGTTGGGGCCCAGGTATACCACGCCTGCTGCTTCAGGGCTTATCAGAGACCGTGAACACTTCAGAATATAACGCCCTCATATTATCTGCAGGCCTTCATGCTAGGATCCCTATGCAATCGCGTATTGAGGCAAGGAAATTATTGATCGGTTGTCTGCAAAACAGGTCTGGAGGATCGCGGCGTTTTGCATTCTGCAGGAATGCACGCTGCTGATTGATGGCTGGGAAGCCCAACTATCAAGCAGCACTGGGAGGATCATGGATCCAAGGGTAAAAGGAGGGACCCTTAATAAGGACCCCCTAGGTATATACCCTTCATATAGCTATTATATACCCATTATATAGCCCATTATAGGGTAGGGGTCCCTCCTTTTCCCCTTTGACGATGTGACGTAACCCAGCCAACAGATGAGCAACTGCTCCGGTTCGTTTACCTCAGCCTCGGGTCACAAGGAACACCTCTTTGAAGACACATTGCGGGGCCCATTAGAGTCCGAGAAGTTCAAGCGAGAATCCCTGCAGACAGGTAGCCTGAACGATACCACACCAGGCGTTTACAGCCGGTTTGTACCTACTCAAACCCTTCAAGAAATCCAGTCTTGACGCCCCAAAAATTATAGGGGCCTAAGTCATGACCTATACTTTTTCGGGGGCTCCTTATTTTAATTATTGTACAATGCACCCCCAAACCTTTAGAGGATGGGATTTGGTTTGGAAGTCCGTAGACACGAAACCATGATCCCCAAAAGCAGAAGTCTAGAAGGAGTATCGAAACGCCGGCGGAGCGTTTTTTTTTTCCTAGGTCTGGCCCTCCCCGGCTTGCTTTCCTAAGTCTGGCCCACTGGTTGTGGTTGCCAACAGCGGCAACTGCGGTCTTTGCTGCATCAAGCTATTGGGGAACTAGAATTCCACGGCTCTGGTTTTGCTTCTGTTTTGCATGAAACTATTGGGGAACTAGAACTTGCGGAGTCTGATTTTGCTTGTGTTTAGCATGAAGCTGTTGGGGAACCACAAGTTGCAGGGTTCGGTTTTCTTTGTGTTTTGCATGAAGGGTTCGCATTTGCTCGGTGTTGCTTGTGTTTTGCATCAAGCTATTGGGGAACTACAATTCGCAGCGTCTTCTTCTGCTTGTGTTCTGCTTGAAGCTATTAGGGAACTAGAATTTGCGGTGTGTTCATCTGCTTGTCTTTTGCATGAAGCCACTAGGGAACTACAATTTGCGGTGTGTTCTTGTGCTTGTGTTTTGCATCAAGCTAATGGGGGAACTACAATTTGCGGGGTCGGCCTTGTTTGTGTTTTGCATCAAGCTATTTGGGAACTACAATTTGCAGAGTCTTTTATTGTTTGTGTTTTTCATCAAGCTAATGGGGAACTAGCATTCGCAGGGTCTGGTTTTGCTTGTGTCTTGCATGAAGCTATTGGAGCACTACAATTTGCAGGGTCGTGTTTCGCGTGTGAACATTGCGGGGATTACAATTTCAAATCTTCTGTCTTGTGTCGTTGTTTTTTGGTGTCGTTGTCGACATCCTCGTCATCGTCGTCGTCATCGTCCTCGTCGTTGCCGTCGTGGTAGTTGTTCTTGTTGTTGTTGTTGCTGTTGCTGGTGTTCTTGTTGTTGCTGTAGGGTTCGGTTTTCTTTGTGTTTTGCATGATGCTATTGGGGGGTTCGCATTTGCAGGGATCGGTGTTGCTTGTGTTTTGCATCAAGCTATTGGGGAACTACAATTCGCAGGGTCTTCTTTTGCTTGTGTTCTGCTTGAAGCTATTTGGGAACTAGAATTTGCGGTGTGTTCATCTGCTTGTCTTTTGCATGAAGCCACTAGGGAACTACAATTTGCGGTGTGTTCTTGTGCTTGTGTTTTGCATCAAGCTAATGGGGGAACTACAATTTGCGGGGTCGGCCTTGTTTGTGTTTTGCATCCAGCTATTGGGGAACTACAATTTGCAGAGTCTTTTATTGTTTGTGTTTTTCATCAAGCTAATGGAGAACTAGCATTCGCAGGGTCTGGTTTTGCTTGTGTATTGCATGAAGGTATTGGAGCACTACAATTTGCAGGGTCGTGTTTCGCGTGTGAATAGTGCGAAATGCCAATTTCAAATCTTCTGTCTTCTGGCGTTGTTTTTTTGGTGTCGTTGTCGACATCTAGGTCATCGTCGTCGTCGTCCTCGTCCTCGTCCTCGTCGTTGCCGTCGTGGTAGTTGTTCTTGTTGTTGTTGTTGTTGCTGTTGCTGGTGTTCTTGTTGTTGCTGTTGTTGTTGTTGTTGTGGTTGTCGCGGTGGTTGTGGTTGTGGCTGGTTGGACCCAAACCCATGGGCTTGCCGTCGGCATTGCGGATAAGATCACCTTGGGCCGGGGCTGTCGTTTTCAAGGCTTTGGGTTTCACGTTTCAAGGGGGGTTTAGGATTCCGGGGTCTGGAAGGAGATAAGGGTTAGAAGGATTGAAGTACTGCACACACCAACACGGAAATGCCCAAGTTAGATGCTGAACATCTGAAATGTTTCGGGTCCGACATGGCTTGGCAAACGACGCGATTGCCTCGAAATCGCGGGCAGTGAGACGAGCCCGCAGCACCCTCTGGCACCTGCTCTGTAGAGTGGAGTGGAAGGTTTGGAATCCGGCAGTCTCTATTGAGACATAGGGTTCAAGCCGAAGAGCTGGGTAGGGGACTCCATAAGCATACGGCTTAGTGTTAAGGTTGAAGTTCTTTGGGCAAGATACATGAGAGCAAGCGGCTGCTTCAAGAATTGGATCCGTGCTTGTTGCTGTAACCCAGCTGCACGAAAACAAGGAAGCCCACACCCCCTAAGCGCTCACATGCCTCAACACAGCAGATCAAAAGTTCTCGAACTACTTGCCTTCCTGACTGCCCGGGACCTGGATGGAAAAGGTCCTGTGATGATGGCGAAGCCCTGGATCATGAGCTTTATCAACTTTTGCAATGTTGTCTAGAATTTTTTGCGCCGGTACCAAACTCATCTCCCGACCCGCCTTCGTCACGAGAGGCTTGCGTGCCATGGCTCCAAGACTTCGAGGCCATGGAAGCGAGCGCCAAGCTTTGGGTCCGGCGTTTCAGGTTTGGGGTTTTAGGGTTCAAGGTTTGGCGTGTGAGGCTTGCAACTAACTCATCGGGCTCGGGGTCTGTGGCTGAGGGCATTTGGCCATCAGCTCGCGAGCGAGCATTACTTTGGAAAATGTTTCCCGACTCGTCCTTTGGTTCATCCGCGTTGGATGTAAAGCATGTCCCGTGCCGGTACAAGCAGTCTTGGATGAGTGCTTGATGCACTCACTCCTGAATGTTGAGAAGTATGAGGGAGGAAAGCTTGGCTCAAGTCTTCGCGGTTTGAGGGTTTAGGGGCCCAGGACCAGGAGAGACCAGGGAACCAGGGGACCAGGGACCAAAAGACCGGAGGACCAAAGGACCAGAGGACCAGGACCAGAGGACCAAAGGACCAGGGGACCAAGGGACCTTGGATGTAAAGCATTTCCCGTGCCGGTACAAGCAGTCTTGGATGAGTGCTTGATGCACTCACTCCTGAATGTTGAGAAGTATGAGGAAGAAAGCTTGGCTCAAGTCTTCGCGGTTTGAGGGTTTAGGGGTACAGGACCAGGAGAGACCAGGGAACCAGCGGACCAGGGACCAGGGGACCGGAGGACCAAAGGACCAGGGGGACCAGGACCAGAGGACCAAAGGGCCAGGGGACCAAGGGACCATGGGACCAGACCTAGCAAGGCCCCGCAGACCAGGCCAGACCTAGGAAAAAAAAAAACAGTGGACCCTCGAAACGCCTTACGGTACACAAAAAGCCCTAAACTATACTGAACTTAGACCCCTAGCAAAAATATGACTTTAGCTGTTTTTTTCAGGGATTTTCGGAATCTTTAAGGGTTCTAGGAATCAAAAACTAAAACCCTATAAGTACCCCGGAGTAAAGCCCCAAAGCTCCCCCAAACCGAGCGTCTCCAACTCCAGGGCGACGCCGAAAGCAAGCAGGGCCTTCGAATGAAGTAACATAGGGGCCTTAATAATTAGAATGGGGCTTGGGGAGTTTCTTATACTATAGTTATAAGAAGGAACCCCGCAAACGGGTACAAGTAATAATTTAGGCCGCTGCATTACTCGCAGGGTGTTGGGTTTTTTAATCTATCCCATCCTTCTTGGGACGGCTACATAGGAACTTAGTGGGTGTTCAGGTTTAGTTTAGAGCTTCAGTGCTTCAGGCATGTAAGGTCTTCAGGGTCTTCCGTCGAGGGCACGCTTGCATGCAGCGATGAGGGTTTAGTGTTTTAGAGTCTGAGGTCATGCAGTGGTTGAAGTCTTTCGTGCTCTTGTCGGTTACATGTTCAGTTCTTTGGAAGCATCGATGGCCTGGTAGTCTCCAAAGAAGGTAACTTTAAAAGCATAAGAACCCCTCAGCTAAGTCCCTAAGGCCCTAGCTAAGTCCCAAAGTTGAAACCCCTGAACCGTACATGTCAAGCCCTGCTGTACACCTGTACGCTGTAAACGCTAGAGCCTAAACCGTAGCTCAAGTGAGCTCGTGCTCTCGGTGTCGGTCCTTGGGTAGCTACAGGCATGCTTGGACAAGTATAACGGTGAGTACCCACGGCTGCGGGTTAAGGGTTTAGGGCTCCCTATCTCATTTAGGGTTTGCGGTTCCGGGTTCAGGATTTGGCAACTACGATAGAGCTTCGGGTGTACAGTCTTCAACCCACGTATCACCCCAAACCTTCAAGCATGCCATCCACGAAAATCTTACCTTTGGTTAGTAGGGAACGGAAGAATGGTAGTAATAGTAGTTCTACGTGTACCCCATTCCTCCATTCCCTACTAACCAAAGGTAAGAAATGTTTCTTCGTAGTCGGGCTCGGGACTTGTGGCTACAAGCACGCGGGGTATTAGAGCTACTTAGGGTAGAGGGTTTAGGGTTCGGGGCTTAGGGATCTGGTACGTGAGTTTAGGGTTACCAGAGGGGTCCTAGCTTTCAGCAGTGATGAAGGACCAACATCCATCCACGCTACTCCGAGGTTCGCGTCAGATTATAACTTAGGTAGATTACAGTTGAGAGAGTCGGCTCTACATGCAGTTCTAACCCTGAAGCTGCAAGTAATCATTACCCAAGGAAATAAGAGTTGAAACTTTCAGAATCGACTACTTTATAAGAACCCCAAAAAGTTCAGCCGATAAGGCACTAACCCTGAGGCTCGAAGCAGTGGGACTTGTGATCTCAGTGCATTTCCCCAGCCCTGATCTCCCCAGAGACTCCAATACCTCTTAATTAAGGAATATACCTTAAATTATAGTAGGATCCCTAATATGATTTAAGGTATATTCCTTAATTCAGGGATATTGGAGTCTCTGGGTCGCTTCCCTCCTGCAGTGCGCCGCGGCAGCAAGCTTCCCAAATCGTGGTGGCCACTGGCATGAATCCCTCTGGCGTGCCCTCGGCCTGTAGCGCTTGGAAGGGGCCTTATAAAGGGGTCTAAAAGCGTTACTATAGGGGTACTATAATATAGGGGCATTAGTAATACCATAACTTACCTTTGGTTAGTAGGGAATGGAAGAATGTTAGGAACAGTAGTTATAGTTGTACCCCATTCCTCCATTCCCTACTAACCAAAGGTAAGTGAAGCGCTTGCATCGGAGGGGGGGGGGGTTGAAGTGCCAATGTAGGGGCATGAGCAGTAAGCTTTCGTTTAGTCCGTATATACCTATCTACTTAGCTCGCTAGCTACCTACCTACCGACATATCTTCTCATCTATCAACATACCTACCTAATTCGTTCCGATCAACCCATCTATCTATCTGTCCATCTTTCTGTCTATTTACCCTCTGTCCGTGTAACACTGCAGTTTACAATACCCCGAGGCTGCCCCTACTCATTCGACTCATTTCTCCTCCACCTTACACAGTTTAAGCCCCCTAGACCCAAGAGTAACCCGGGCATAAAAAGGTTTAAAGGGGCTTATAAGGGAACCTGAACCCTAAAAAAGGGAATAAGGGCCTACTCTGGGTCCTAGCCCCTCATGAACCCCCAAGAATCAGCCCTAAAGCCGAAAGAGCACCCACGTATAAACGTCGAGCAACCCTGAATCTACGTAGCACGCTTTTACGCACTAACAATTCCCTAAGCCTCAAACCCTAAACCCCAAGCCAAGCCCTAAAAGCCTCAGGGGCTGAATACCCCAAGGAGATCCAAAGAGGTTGACCTTTGCATTTATGGTAGGATTATATGGGTGGTTGTCAAAAATTAGGGTCCCTTTTGAGATCCTTCTTATAATACGGCGCCTAATATTTAAGGTATCCGAAAAAGGGACCAGAATTTTGACAACTACGCATATAAGCCTCAAAAGGTTATCTGCTCAGCACGAAGAAGCTGTACAGAGGTCATCAGGTTGGCGTTGTGTTTCCCAAACACAGCACGAAGGAAATCGATGTAGTTTCTAGGATACTCAGTAACCTAAGACTAAAAAGGCCTCTCTTTTTGGTATTGGGTAACTTTATAAGGAACCTAGGACTACAAAAAGGGAGTAAGGGTACTGGAGATCCTAGGTTCTCAAGCAGGGCTCAAGGCTTTCCGATGACTCCTGTGGGGTTCGGGCCTTGGTGTTTTTTAGTAACTGGTTATTTTTCAGACTTATAAGTACCATTAACCCCAATTACGGCCCCTTTTAGGGTACTTATAAGTCTACTTGCTACCTACTTGCTAAGTCCCCCACCCTCCAAGTAGGGCTTAGGGTTTTGTGGCTTTTTTTGCTCCGTAGTTTCGGGCTTTAGGCTTCAAGATTTCTGATCAAACAGCTAGCGCTTGTAATTATTTGTGCTTTGGGTTGAGGGCTGTGGCTTTTCGGCTCAGGTTTTGGCGCATCAACTTCTCCTTGGTAGCCAGTGTTCTTGCATCTTGCATCACCGCACTTTTAACTGATCTTCTTGACATGCTGGTCCAAGCCCCTCTTATATCTTGAACTAAACCTCCCAAACCCTAGACTCTAAACCCTGAAACTCAAAAACCACTAAACCCCTGAATGCGTACTCGCCCCCTCCACCACCCGAATCTGAACTCTCCATGAACGGCAAACTGCAGCCAGGAGGCGGCTTTCGCGCCAGGCTCAAAAGCGGCTTTGCGGAGGTTGAAGACCTCTCCCCATGCAAGCCGGACGCTCGAAGTCATGAAAACCGCGACCAGCACTCCTGTTCCTATACTGAACTTAGACCCAGTGGAACAATCATAGTTTGAGCCTTTTCTTCTGTCTTATAGGAACCAACAATTAAAAGTGCTTTCTAAGTACCCTAAAAGTTCGCCCAGGCCCTGGATCCAAACCCTGCGCCCCAAATACCTTCAAACGACGTGACGTGGCTACCTCCTTGAGGTCGTTGGCACGACGGGCGTTCAAGGCTTCGCCGCCCATCCGCCCGTATCCAGTATTGGTCTCCTGGGCCAAGTGTCAAGCTCAGGGGTGTAGCGCTTACGTTATTTCAGAGAAACGGAGCTGGGGCCTCCTTGCGATTGGGCTTAGGCGTTTTAAGGCTCGGGGTGTTGATGGGCATACGGTCTGGGGTTCAGGGTCGCAGAATCAACGCTCTGATGGGGTTGGGGTGAAGCTGATAAGGATTCAGTAAGCTTACTAACCAGGGCTACCATTAGTAAGGGGGCTCATTGGGTATTTAGGGTTCGCATGTGGTTCCCGCGTGTGTGGGTCTGTGGGCAACAGTTAACGTAGGGGCCTTTATAATTAGAGCGGGGTTCTGGGGGCCATTATACTATCATCTTAAGAAGGACCCCCCCCCCCCCCCGAGAAATGGTATTAGTAACTATTGAAGCCTCTATAGTGATCCGGGCCAAGTTGCTGGATTCAGCGGCTGAAGCGCCTCGCGATTGGTGCTCTCTGAGAAGAAAGCCTGGGATTCAATTTCAGGGTTCAGAACGGCTCAAGGCTTTTGGGCTCAGGGGGTTTCGGGTTTAGGGTTTAAAAACCAGACACAACGGTTCAAGGCTCATAGGGTTCAGGGTTTACTTACGGTTTTGGACTCCTGGCTTCTCCTACCTCGAACAACCACGCAAAAATCGTCGCAAACCTGTCTATATAGACCAGGCATCAGCCTCTCGAGAACACGAGTTTCGTCCCTACTGGCGAAGTTTAGGGTTTGCTGTCCATGTTTCGGCCACAGCAAGATATTGCTTTGCATGATAACATATCAGGAGGAAGCAGCGGTAGTAGCAGGAAAACCTTGAATGCCGTAGCTCCTGTTCAAAGACTTTCGGATGTCCAGCCCAATTTTTTGGTGTAGGCGTTCTCGGGTTGGCGGGGTGTATTAGAGATCCCATAACAGAAACAACTGAACATTGTAACCTCAAAGCCTATAAACCCAGCAGCTTCTGAAACATCATTACGCCCTGCGAAACACACTAACAACCTCTGCAAGGCCCAGCCGCCCGTGAGGTGGCGAATGCCTGGGCCACAATCTCCGAGGGCACCAGGCCGGCGGCGTAGACGAAGCCATGGGTGGTGAGGATCTCCTGGGTCAGGAAAGGTTTTCATGAGGGTTCCAGCGAGGCACAAAGCAAAAGGGCTGTTAGGATTTCGAAAAGGCTTGGTTACAAGGAGGATAGAGGGTGAGGATTTGCTAGATGCTCCTGGGCTCAGGGTTTTTTAATCTGAGAAGGGTTCCACACAGCTCCAATAACTCAATCAAGACACGCACCTGATTGTCCCAGTCCACTTTGACGGTTCGTGAGCTATGGGGATTCCCGGAATGACCACGTATGATAGAATCTAGGGCCTTGTTATTCCTAGTCATGACTTTAGCTCCCAGCTCCATGCAACCCGGGCACTCGCAGCTGCTTGCCCACAGCACACTGGGCCTGCACTGAAGCGAGGAGGGGCGCCGCGTCCAAGGGGCCAGGGCTTAGTGTCTAAGAGTTGCGGATCATCCGTGCTGTTTTTCCATGCCGGAGACTTTTTGGCGAGCCTCCCCGCACGGTTTAGTTTTAGGGTTTGAGACTCTATGGTACCTTTGTGGCATTCCAGTCTCGCAAAACAGCAAGACCAGTCGGTTGTGCCTTTATTCCCAACACCCTCAACCTTAATTCCCCACAGGCCCAAGCCCTGACAAAGCAACAACAAACGGTTCATTCTGGAAGCGTGGGTGCCAAAACCAAACCCAAGGGCTTGTAGATCCTAGAAGGACGTATGAAACCCAAAATCCAGAGCATTCATGTAAACAATCCCACCAGACCTGTAATCCTAAAGCCTCTACACCCTGCACCAGAAATCACAGAAAAGCGCAAAGCTAACACAAATTGAGCGTGATTCTCCTGAGCAGCCCGAGGAAGCCATCAGCCCTAGCATCCTTTTTCCGAAAGCTTCAAGGCCTCGTTGGGAACGAAGGGTGTGCCCGGGGGTGGCACATCGACGCCCTGCGTGCTGGGGTCATATTGACAGTCCGTCATGATTGGAGCAGGGTTTGGGGGAGCACTACGCTATACATGTAATTCGAAAATAGGAATCCGGAGGAATACTATTGCACACATTAGGGTTGAGGGCGGACAGAATGTTTGTAGGGCTTCAATGCTGAGGGCACCAAGGTCAAAAATTCAGGGTTGTTTTTTGCCGGCACCTTTTGCTAGAGCCTGACACGAGGACTGTGGCCATAGGTCCTTCAATCCCTGCATGCCCTCACAATGGCAAAGCGTCTCTGTGCCCCTACCAGCACATCACACCTCTCAAACAGGAAACCCCAGAATAAGACCGAATGTCACCCACATCTGCGTCGGAGACAGCCTGGCATCAACAGAGGCAACAAAATCGAGTCTGTGCAACAAAGCCAACTCTGAACTCAAGCACGACCCTGCGCAACGAAAGACATGACACCTAGATCATCTGGCACTGACACGGCTGCTTCTCGCAGCACGACTGACAACACCGGCAGGCACCAAAAGTATGAAGGCCAACTTCATTTCTCAGTCGTCCCCATCACTAGACAGCAGTCCCTCCGCTCGGACGCCTACGGCTTTTGTCATGGGCCCGATTGTTGCGTGCGGGAGCGGATGGCTCGATCGGGGCCTCCTGTTCCAAGTCCTGCATCTGAGTCAGTCGCCGAAGGGCCGAGGATCGCTTTGCAACGGAATCCATAGGCAGAGCACAATCATGCAGGAATGCTAATGTGGGGCCACCTCTGCGCACTCCGAAGGTGTGTGAGTCGTACATGTGGAAGCTGCAAAGGGCCTTGGCCTCAATGGTGGAACTGGTTCATCAGTGCCAACACCACCAACGAGAAGAAAACTCTGTGCATGCTGGGCTGACAGCTGCAGCAAGCAAGCTGAGCCATTGAGCACCTTCTGAGCATTCGCTTGCAACCGCAACTCAAGTCAAGAAGAGCTCCTGGGGTCCAAACCCATTCAGGGGAAGAGCTTGGAGCGAAAGCGAAACGTACAGGAATGAGCCTTGCTTCCAGCCGGAACAACCGGCCCGCACGCCGAAGGAGGACTGCGAAGTCCTTGAGCACGGCCTTTTTCACGAACCGGCCCAGCTCCGACATGGCGAGCGTGAACTTTCAATTGCTCATGCAGTGTTCTCAATGTCGGCATACGTGAAGTTAAGTACTGCGTGCCATGTTGCATAAACACATGCGTAGAACATACACAAAGCTAGAATTTGCATTTCTGGCCAAAGCCCATCGCGAAGGCTACATCACATTGTCAGCTGCACCCAACTGCCGGGCAACTTCAATAAAGCAGTTGAGTATACTGTCAAACAAAGGCGAGATGAACCACCTGTGTTGGAGCACTTTTAGCGAAAAGCTTTCCGCGGTAGGAACCTCCACCAGCACAGGACACGGCGGTGCCCGCGACTATTTGCGGCCACTGTTGTGTTAGAGCTTGCGCTTTCGGAGAGAAACGCTTTATCCATGACTGAACTATTCGACGACAGCTTGTTCGGTGCGACAGTTGGCGCACTTCCAATTGGCCGGTACTGGCATGTACCGGCCGCTGACTGGTCTTTGCCAACGCTTCCTCTGGGCAGGTACCGGCAAGTATCGGCCTTTCACCGGTCTCTGCCACACTCTCACTGTTGCCGGTGCCTTCATGCTAGCATGCTTTGTAAGCACGATTGGACCAACCGCACTGCTTGCACCCCTCCTCCGAATCGCTTGACCTCGTGGTTGACGTACATATGTGTCGTACCTCGGTGGCTGTAGCATATGTAGTTGCGAACTCAATTAGAAGGAAGCCGATCGAAGGTGCGTGCCTTCTCTGTTGGCCGCGGTTTCGATTTGGTTTTGGCCGCTTCCAGGGCACGTAGCATGAAAACCACGCGCCGCCAACGTATGCTTTTTCAGGCCACTTCCAGCAGGAGAGATCGGACTCGCAACATCATGAAACTTGCGGTCCTTGGCGACTAAGACCTCCGGGTTTAGATTTGGGGGCTTATGGGTTACTATGCTGCTAATATGGGGCTGTCATGAACTTAGACGGATCCTGGCCTGGGCCTTAATAGCGAGGATACTGCTGCTGTTTAGGTTCAATCTTGGGGATGTGCTGCTCTAAAATCCTGGGGTAGACTCTGAACCCAGCAGCCAAACAAGCTCTAAGACAACCCCTGACGAAACCCCTGTAAAACAGCCCTTGTGGAGCCCTTGTCTCACTGGCCCAAAACCCAAGGAAATAAAAGTTGAACCTTTCCTGATCGACTACCTTCTAAGAACGTTGAAAGGTTGAATTTACATCCAATATGTGACCCTTAGTGGGGACCCCTACCCTATAATGGGCTATAAAACGGGTATATAGTAGCTATATTAAGGGTATATACCTAGGGGTCCTTATTAAGGGTCCCTCCTTTTACCCTTGGATTGTCATGAAACCCTGACACCGACCTGAAAGGCCGAGAAGTCAACCTCAGGAACGTTCGTCCTGAGATGCTCCGGTATTTCTTTTAAAGGGCCCCCACCCTGTAATAGTGGTATACTAGGAATATAATAGGTCCCTACTATAATCCTTGTAGTCACTATTACAGGGTGGGGGCAGCTTCTAAGGTATTTCTGTGATGGTTCGCCGGAGGCCCGATTGTTAAACATCCGTCATGACTGGAAACTCTATCCTGAGCCCCAACAGTTAACCCCAAAACCAAACCCTCTAAACCACGAATTTTGCCGGACTCGAAGACACGAACCTCCAAACCGTAAGCCATATGATACAAGGCCTTATTAGCTAGAATGGCATTGAGTCTGCAAACTAAGGATCTGATATCATTTCATACAGGGTCTGTACGGTTTATGGAGTTCGATATCGGGGTTCTGAGATTAGCACCGCGTTTTGGGGCACATTTTCGCATGGGAGGGACTAGCAGGGGACCTTCCTGCACAAACAGCCAAACCATTGGGAGGATCCAAAAAGTAGATCCCTTAATGGGATACCCTCAGTAGTATAGGGCCCAAAATTAGGGGATCTACTTTCTAGATCCTCCCGGGGGTCTGGGGAGCCCAAAGCCTACAGATCCCCAACCTCGAGCTCACAGAACACCGTCCGCCCGATGCAATGGGAAGCTTGTATGGCGTAAGCCCACAATCAACTGCTTTGAGGGAACAAACATATCCCTGACATACAGTAGGGGCCTGAATCGTTAGAATAGGGTTTTGGGGCCGATTATACGATAATCATACTAATATAGAACACCCAAAATACTACTGGTAATGATTTATTTAAGCCCTATATTATCCCGGTCATCTAGACTGAGGTCGCAGGGCTAGGCTGTTGACTTCGACTGAAGAGCCTGAAGACGAAGAACATCTAGCGATATGGTGGTTTAAGAAACAAGGGGGCCCTAATGTAGTATCCTAAGGGATAATAGGTGCCTTAGTTGGGGATAAGTAGATATGGGGGTTTCCGAAAATAGGGGCCATAATGCAGTAGACTAAATAGTAGGATCTTCATTATAAGGACATCCGACAATAGGGGTCCTAATGTAGTACCCTGAATAGTAGGATCCTTATTATAAGGACAGCCAGGTTTCATGGTATGGAGCAGCCGGTTCGGTCAGCTGCTCGTGAGGACACGCGACTTACGAGGATGTTGCGCTCCCAGATGAACTAGGGCTGAGACCTAAACCCCTGCGTATGTGCAGATGAGTCTTACGGACCGAGTTCCAGGAATGAGCGAAAAGGCTTCTGTTGGCCATGTTCCAAGCGACACCTGATCCAGCAGCTGCGGTCAAAGCGTTGTCAGCAAGGTTCCCGGCCAAGAACTTTCCTGTGACATCCCTTCCCAGAGACTCCAATACCCCTTAATTAAGGAATATACTTTATATTATAGTAGGATCCCTTATATGATTTAAGGAATATACCTTAAAGTATGGTAGGATCCCTTATATGATTTTGAAGGTATACTCCTTAATTAACGGGTATTAGAATCCCCTAAACCCTAAACCCTATAGCTCCTTTAAAGGAACCCTTAAAGGAACCCTTTGTATTCCTTAGTTAAGGGGTTTTGGAGTCTCTGGGTCCCTTTGCTGCACGAGAGACGTCTGACGATAGTCCGGCTACAAGGATTCAAGGGTAAAAGGAGGGACCCTTAATAAGGACCCCTAGGGTTTAGGGTTTAGGATTTAGGGTTGAGGGACCCTCAACAAGAACCGATATGGGCACTTAAAGGATCATGGGACTTAGTAACTTTAAAGGGCTCCTCAAAGGGATCTATAGGGTTCCTTAATAAGGTTCCTTACAGGGATCTATAGGGTTTAGGGTTTAGGGCCTACTTAAAGGATCATGGGACTTAGTAACTAGGGTGGTTTTTGGGGTAACTATACTTATAATTACTTCTACCCCCAATTAAGGGACTTATAACTATAGCTACTAAGTCCCATGATCCTCCAAGTAGAAGTGGGACCGCATTGCAACAAGTTTCTGGGCCAAGCTGCCTTGGGAGGCGTGTGCTACATCGTCCGGCTGCAACTAGCAGGACAAAGTGCTCAAGCCAAGCGCACTTTTGTAGTTGCGCAGAGCTAGAAGCTATCCGAAACACGCATGTGCGCAAATCGACAAGCCTTGCAGTCAGATCAGGTCTCCAAAAGCTTTCAGTCACAGACGATCAGGTCTGTGATGCATCAAGGACATCCCTCTGCAATGCCCTACGTGAGCCAACCAATGCCGGTTCTCTGCTTGCACAGACCCTGGAAACTATCCCAAGCATGTGCAACACGACTGCAGTCAGATCAGGTCTCCAAAAGCTTTCAGTCACAGGCTATCAGGTCTGTGATGCATCAAGGACATCACTCTGCCATGCCATGCACAAGCCAATCAACCCCAGTTCTTGCTTACACAGAATCTCGAAGCGACACCAACCATGTGCAACTCGACTGGCCTTGCAGTCAGATCAGGTCTCCAGAAGCTTTCAGTCACAGACTATCAGGTCTGTGATGCATCAAGGACATCCCTCTGCAATGCCCTACATGAGCC